ATGCCACTGTTAATCTGTGCTGATAATTTCTAAGTAATTTCCACATACTAGTATGTAAATTAATTATAATACATATTTATAAAAGACATTTTTATCAATTACACATTTTTCTTGGCAACATTTATCTTAATTTAAAAAAAAATACTATGGATATCTTAAAATTTAATTTTGAAACCTAAGGTCATTGACTACCTCTAAAAAGTAAAATAGACATAATACTTTGAACTTCTTACCATCTGCTAATTGTGATGGTTAAAAGATATTCTAGATAGTCCTGAAAGTATTTTTCTCTTACATACTGTGCACAAACCTAGACAATATCACTGACTCTAATATCATACTCTTAAGTTTTGCTAATAAGCAGGTATATTGGTACTCCATTGTACATGGAAAGTAAATTCTAATAGACCATTAATCTCCAAAATTTTTTGTTTTATTTTCTTCAGCTTTTGAGATGTACATTTAGCTTTATTTTTGAATATAATTTTTCCCATTATGAGTAGAAAGACAGGAATGAGTTGCTAAATAATTTTTTTTTTAATTCAGATGTTTTTGCTCCATTTAAAGCAGCTCTATGGCCTTTAAAGCAGGATTTTGGATTTTCTGTGTGTGGTGGGTGATGGGTTTTATGATTAAAATGTAAATTTTATGAATATTAGTATCAGAAATAATTATATTCTGGTATCTCAATTGATCATGTTACCAAGTGTTTATTATTAGATTTATTTTACTTACATATGGAATTCTAAGGATGAGTGTTACCTTATATATTTTAGGTTTGAAAATTAGAGGAAGAAATATTTAATATGATAGCCAGAAAGTTGTAACCTAAAATAATGTATAGAAATAATACATAGGTGTTTTTCTAATGATGCTTTTAAACCAGTGATGTGAAATAATGTGTAGCCTTTGACCTATACATGCCAACTTTTGGAAATTATTGAAAATGTCGTTAGAACATTAAACATGACTATAAGCTTATAATTTGAGATTCAGTACATATGTAGTTTTACATTTACTTATTTGATGATGTTAAATCTTATATCCAAGAAATTGCTTAAAGGTAAATTTTTGTAAGGACTGCCTTTATGTCCCTTGAGTTCTTTTTAAAAACAATAAATAGTATGTTTTCCCGTAGTTGAGCAACTTTATTAATATGTATTTGAATACATAAAACAAAGGTTAAATATAGAAAAGTGTGCAGTGGTTTCATTGGGTTTTGATTTTATTTCTGTTACTTTTAATGACACCTTGCGTCTAGGAAACATAACATATTTTTACAGATTACCAACAATTTTATTTCCAAGTGTAGTTAGTGTTAGATACTTTCATTAGCTAGGATACTTTCATTCCCTCTGTTGTTGAAAGTGGGCTCAACATGTGATATATACATGTACTTAGAATTTGTACTTACTGAGACTTCTCAGGTTGGGAATCAAGGGATCCTTGATTCTTATGATTAAAATTAGCAACAGAAGATAAGTTAACATTGTAAACTGCACCATGTACTTGCTGCATAAATCATATTCGTCACTAAAGGCTTTTCTATGTCACTTGTGTTTTATTGAGCAAAAACATGTGTTCCCATCTATAATCTAGTCTTTACTAATATACCTAAACCTGCCTCTAACCCAGTGGTCCCATAAATCAGAATCATCAGTGGAGCTAGTTAAAGCAGATTACTGGGTCCTAGCCTCCAGAGTTTCTGAGGCTGTTAGTCTTTGGTGGGACCTGAGAATGAATTTCTAACAAGATCCCAGTTGATGCTGCTTGTCTGACAACCGCATTTTGAGAACCAGTGCCTAACTCATTGAGTATCCTTACAAACATCTAATAAAATAAGTTCAGTGATTTAAAAACTGAAGTGTTTCTTTATGAGAACAGTAATTCCATTTCCTTCAAGTCATAATTAAAGTCCACCTATTTAAAAAACCCAATTTATCCTCTTCTGCCTTGTTCTTATTCATACTGAATTTTTATGTTTCACATTTAAGAAAAGTATAAATTTTTAACAGAGTGAGTCCCCATATATTACTAAATATACTGATACTTTCATTGTTCATATAGACATACCTTTATGATAAATCTTTTTCTATGGAGGAAGAGAGAAGAATTCAACCCTAGAAATGTTCTTAGGGTTGAGAATGCGAACAGCTGAATGCCTTTCCTTTCTGGGCTTAGTTAGACTTTTTATTTTCATTAGAATGAAAACTTGAAGCTGAGCAGTTGGTGGGAATTTACTTTGCCTCTGTGGCTAACTAATTGCTTTATTTTTCCCTGTCTTCTTAAATAATAGCAGTTTGTAGTTTTACAGTCTTACTTAACAGCGTAATGGTAAAGGAATTTTTGGATTTTTCTTAGTACTAACAGCTCACAAAGGGTGTTTCCTTTTTTCTTGTTTCCTTACGCTTTCTGTATTTGGAAACTTGAGACTACTTGCTTCATTCATGAAAGAATGTACATAGTCTGTATTTTTATTTCCATCATTTGGTCCTCTAAGATTTTAGGTTTTCTTTTCCATCAATCAAGATACTGATATGCAAATCTGATATTCTTGCACCTTTTTGTGTTCCTGTTCTTGCTGACCCTTTACTATTTTAGTACCCATATTCCTTTTTTTTTTTTCCCTCAAGATTATTTTCTTGCACTTCTGATATGTAAAACAAACCTTTTTGACATCTTAGGAGGCTGTGAATTCTAGAAATCTATATAACTGTATTTGTAGGAACTCCATTAAGTTTCTTAACCTTTTCAATTTTACTTAAACACTTAGCCCTAAAATTAGTACTTTTTGCTGTCTTGTGCAATGTGATTATTAAGCAAAATAAAAATTATGTGATTGATATAAATTATTATAATTGCTTGTGACATTAATTTGAACTTGTAATTGTGGTTAATTTACTAATGCAAAGTTATTCAGAAAAAGTAAATATGAGCAATTATTTTTCATTTTATGGTGTTTATCTTCTTTTAAACAAATTAATGGAAGCAAGACTACTTATCTCTTATACACTTCCTGCAAACATATTGTGACATTGATTGTTATTTTACCAGGTTTCTATCATGAATATATTTTGAATACATATTAAGACCATTTTTATAAATATTAAAACATGGCAGAGCGTTGTTGAGTGGCTATAAAATGTATATAGATGGGGTATATGAAAGGGGTATCTAATCCACAGGAGTTTAGATTTCTTTGTTTTTGAGAAGTTTGAGGGTGAGATAAAGGGAGGATCTTTGTTGGTATGAATAAGTACAAGCAAGGAAATTAAAGATTTTAATTTTTGATGGGGGACTAGGTTAGTGGTTGAGAATTCCTGAGATTAAGAAAGTTTAAAAGAAGTGATGAACTCTTACGAAATTAAGAAGAAAATGAACCAGTTGAAATAATAGACATTGATATGTTGTGAAATCTTAAATCCATTGTGATTTAAAATTTTAGGATATCAAAATTTTCCCTGAGTCACGTTAATTCATTTACACTAAATGGAGAAGCACTGGCAAATTTCTTTAAATGACTGAACCATACTGAATAAAGGGATTTGTGCTTAATATTTGTATAAGCAATTTTAGTTATAATTTACTTAATAGTTGAAGCATCCACTTGAAATTCATTTTATTATACCTTGACCTATAAAATTTGCATGATTGATCCTATATAAGTTTTCAGGTCTTACTGCTCTGCAGGGAAAATCAACCTGGTTTTTTGTTTTTGTTTTTAACTTTTAAGCTTAAGTGGCTCTAAGGTGCATGACTTACATACCTACTCCTCTCTGACACAGTTCTCCTTCCCCTTACTTGAATTAGTTGTGCTAAAAACCAGGCTACGTTTTCATTCTTTACTTGCCATTCTGTAGTCTAGTAATGCACTATGGAATGTCTCACACTCAAATTATTAAGTAAATTTTGTTAAAATGTTATTGTTCTGCTTGCTTTGTCTTCCTAATTTATATACTAACAGAAAACATGGTAAGACCCCTGCAAACATTCCATTGGGTTGAAATCAAGTAAAATTGAAAAGAAATTAAATTAAAACTAAATTGAAAAGTTAAAAGAAATAGTTCTTGCCTTTATGTAGCTTCTAACAAGATCATTGGGACAAATTCATAGAACTTAAATAAATAATCATCTTGCCTAGAATTCTAACTTAATTCTAATAGTCTCAATGACAATGAATCATGGACAATACAAAATAAGAAAATACTTCCAATAGGAATAAATAGGGCATTCCAGGCCTCATGGTAATGACACTCTTTTTAATGTTGTATTACAGGGAGTACTAATTTAGAAAAAGTGACTATATAATCATATGTTGAAAATAAAAGTATATTGATCTGTGAAAATAGTGAGTGTAGCGCAATGCTTAGACACTCAGTATGTACCAGGCACTATGCTAAATGCTTTCAATGCATTCTATCATATAGGTAGGCCAAAAGCATGGAAGGTGTAATCTATTGGCTTGATACCTGGTTAGACTGTATAAGTATCTGTAATAGAACACAACACAAAAACCTGATTTAGAGAATAAACTTAAAAACCTGGCTCTTCCTTTGTTTTAATATGTTTTCAAAATTTATTTCCACGCTGTTCAATTTATGACTCCATGTTTTGTTCAGTTCCATTCATCTAGTTCAATATTGTTTTTAAGTGCAATTTTAATTCTTAAATATAGTAGGAAACTGAGTAAGTTTTATTTTCAGTACATGTTGAACATGTCAAAAACTTCAATTAAAATGTATACTAAAATAACAAAACTATCAGTGATTTTCTTTTTATTTCCAGTTAAAATTCATTGTGACCCATGATAGAGAGGTATGACAACATAGATAAAATAGGACTTTTTGTAACTCTTTACAGGAAGCTATTAGCAGTTGAATTTTTAAAATTTATGGTACTGCTTGCTTAAAGACAATATGGATCAGCTCTCTGTTATATTTTTTAGTAAGAATAAATAAATACACTGTTGTTACACAAGTTTGATTTGTTTTGTTTTCCAGGTGCAACAATCGAACACAGTGTATAGTAGTTACTGGGTCAGATGTATTTCCTGATCCATGTCCCGGAACATACAAATATCTTGAGGTCCAATATGAATGTGTCCCTTACAGTAAGTATGAAGTTTGTATTTTTCACTTTCTACAGCATTTCTCGTTGATGCTGAAAGAGGACCCATGTGAAAGAAGCATATGTTTATGGCCTACAAAACTATTCTGCATGCAGAGCACTAACAGGCTTGGGCCTCCAATTAGCTTCATGAAGTGTGGAAGGAAGCCATAGTGTGAAGCTGGCCAAGTGTCTGTCTGTGTTCTTAAGTGTTTGGCTTTTAAGGCTAGTGTTTTTCCAGAAAACAAACTTGAATTAGCTATTCAATAGGGCTGATAGAAATCTGTACTTTTGCCCAACACCAGTTGCTGACAAATTGGTTTGGCTCACAGTTTTCTAAAGAAGGAATTGACTTCAGTTTTCATAGTAAGCTACTTGAATGGCTACCTGCTGTTGTGGTAACTTTAATGCCTGGTGAAAGCTATCACTGCAGTTAACTGAGGCCAGTGCTTTCCTTTCTGTCCCTTGTTCTTAAGGGAGCAGCCCTTTACCAGATTCAGTGATAAAATCTCAACACTAAAAAAATAGATGTAACAAGTATGTAACACGTATTTTTAATTTCTCAACATCCGTTTTTAGTAATATCCTTTAGCAGGATATTTAAATTTTAATTGGAAACTTATAAGTAGGCTTCCGCTAATAGTGTAATTTTGTGTAGTTTTCCTCCTAACCTCAGAATTCATACTTATAAATTGTATTCTGCATTTTCAGTAGGAAAAATCACTTTAGACAATTAAAAAGATTAAGTATATTGCCTAATTTTTATCAGCTAATTTGTTTGGTGTTGTTCTTATCACCTTTACTTTTTAAATTAAAAAAAAAAATACATGTCATGTCACCTTAATTCATAGGCATTTGAGTTAAGAATTCTTTAGCAGAAATTTTATTGATTTGCTTTAGGAGGACTTCCCTCCTTAAAAAAAAGATGGACTCAAAACTAATAGTGAAATTGCTTTTTCCAGAACCTTAAAAACCAGATCACTAGTTCTGATAGATTCGTATGCTTAAACTCTAAATATTTCTGAAAACAAAGGGCCAATTTTAGATAGCTATACTATGTCCAGCATGGTAGTGATACATTCTTACACATCTCTCTTCTCTGCCCACAGTTTTGATAAATTGACTTTGTGTGGGGAATCAGTTAAAGGCCAAACACAGATTATCTTTTCTTTTCATTCCTGCTCTGTGTTCCTGTGTTACTGTGAAATGGATGCTTTTTATGTTTTCAGTATTTTCTATGCCGTTTGTAGGATTGGAAGCCTACTGAGTGCACTCATCTTTATATCGTTTCTCCTATGTGTAGTGTTGGTGGCGCACATAATCATTCTCCTGTGCCACTAGAGGAACATTGTATTCTTTGGAGCTAACCAAAATTTTGTTCCATAAAGTCACTTTCGCATGAATTTAGCATGGTCTCTGTCCTCAAGTTAGAAAAGGAATACAGCATCCATTCCCACACAGTGGAATCAGTCAGAGCTGCCAAGAATTGTCTCTCTGGAGCCAGTTCCTGTAACCTAGTCTGTAGATCAAAAACAGTGTTAAGAAAATATTATTTTCAGACTTTTAAGGTTATTTCTTGTGCTTTTTAAGAAAGAAAAGTGTGGATATCTTCTGGAACATCTAACTTACAAAATTTTACTTTTTCAGTTCTCCAGAAGTGTTGTACAGTGTGCACCAAACTTGCAAATAGCTCTTTTCAAGAGAAGTATTTGTTCTTTTAGTGTTTGTCCTTTAAAAACAAAAACAAAGACAGTAATCAATTTGCTGTTACCTTTCTAGATACTTGCACGAAGCAGTCTGTGACTTTGTAGAAACTACTCCTTGCTAAAGAATAGAAGTAATTATACTTCCTGTATACCGTACAGTGGCGACACACTCTAAATTCCAGGACTTTCACTGCCAGTGATATTTTTAGATAGTTTTGATCTTATTTTGGGTCTTTGTATCTCTTCAATCTCTTTTCCCCATTTCCTCTCCTCTTTTCCCCATTTTCCTCTCCTTTTTTCCCTCATGCTTCTGTCTATCATCTCTCATACTTACTTTTATTTTAATATCCTAGCTTTTATTTTTCCCTTGTTTTAATGTGTTGTAATGTTTGCATACTCCTTTTACTCTTTGCTTAGTTGATAAAAACTGTCACTATCAAATAGCATTTATTATGTGTCTGTTATCACCTGGCTTTATGCCACTGTCTGTCCTGAGCAAATGCCTCAGGAACAATATCCATCCCAAACTATTTTCTCTTAGTTTAAAAACAAAAATTCAGAAACTTTCCGTGATCTCTGAAAATTTTGTAATAAATTTATGCAACAGAGTCCATTATACATGCTATAGTTTGTTTTACTTTGTATGTTTATAGACAGACACATGTATTATATTTGATTAGTAATTGAAAGAATATGTGTTTAAAACAAGTCATAAGGATCCTATAGGATAAAGGAGAATAGTCAAATCAGAATTTCTGTGTCCTATAGGCACAATTTGGTTTTGATTTTTGAACTCTCTTATTTTAAATTATCATTAAGTTTTTAAAATTATACCATAAATTTAACCATAAGTTTCATTTGATGAGTAAAAAACCTTTTACTATTGATTGTGTCATTATTAGTGAATAAACATAAGATTATTCAGAGTGAAATAGTGTGTCACTTCAAATACAGAGTATGTAGGTTTTGTTTGGGTCAAGTTCTTGTCTTCAAAACTATGTCCTCCACTGATGTTAGTGAGTCATGTGTTTTATGTTTGTTCTATAGCATAGTAAATGTATTGTTATGAATTAATTCATACAGCCTCTTAAGACAAGTTACAATATATATTTGCGATAAAAATACTAATTTCATTAATTTTATTGTATTTTTCTGAGTTGATGAAATTTTGACTAATTTGACAGAGCTATATATCCTTTAGGTTGTCATAAAAATCATAATGTGAGGTTTTTTGTTTTAAATATCCATATTTTATGCACTTTATCAATCATCAAAAGTTTTAATTTATTTTTACTTTTACATTTGGGTGTTACTTCTCAGTTTTCATTAAAATTGTAGATTATATATAATATATATCCATTTTATTTTTTATATAAATGATACCAATTAAATCATAAGTGAAGTCTTACCTCTTTAATATTTTGCATAGTAACTGCACTATCGATTTAGTGTATCAAGTAATAAAACTAACTCAGCCATTTTCAATTAGTGGAAAACAAAATATACTTTCTACATCCTTTACTGAACTTGTTTTAATTTCTGTTTTAAATGCATAACATATTTTAAAATTTATTATTTCCATTCTTTGCATTTAATTGATTTATTTGAGTAAAATCATCCTTTCCTAAAAGGAAAGAATATAGCTGTATATAGAGTTAGTCTGAGCAGGCTCACCACTAATGATTTCTTTTATCCTTATTTTCCCACCACGCCCTTCCATTATTGATTCTGAGCAGGTATAATATTGCTCTTCACTGAGCAGTAATTTTAGGACTAGTGGTTAATAAAGAATTGTTCCATGTCAGTAACACTGAATTTCATTTTTACTGGATGTAGTCAGATTTACTCATTAATAGAGCAAGTATGTTTCCTGAAAGTGGTTAAATAGATCAAGTTGGATTGGGGCAGGGTCTCTTAATGTGAAAGGTTTCCTATGACAAAGCTCATTTTTCCCTAAGGTATTTCAGGAGGTCAGTATTTAACCTTAATGAATTATTGCAATTTAAGAAAAATTAATCAAGCTAAGGCATCTTAATGAAATGTGCAACTACAGTATCTTTGAGTAATCCATTTGGAGATATAGTATTGGCACACCCTAATGCATTTTGATAAGGGAAGAGGGGCAATCACAGACATTAATCTGATCACTTTATGAAATTCAGGCAACATACTTCAAAAGCCTACATACAATCTGAAATAATATTTTATAGTTCATAATGATTTGAATACTGTTTACCAGCAAGGATATTCTATAGCACACTTCCTAACTGCATAATCTATTTCTTTAAATATCTTGAAGGGAGGATTTTTTTTCTCCTGTAACTCTACTAATCAGGTTTGTTTTATGAAAGCATTTACCTTTCATGGGGTCTGTGGAAATCAAGGTATTTGCTTTGAATGCTCAGTATGATTGTTGCATGCTAGCTTGCTTTTGTGTAAATTGATGATGGTAGACAATGTCATAATAAGCTAACCATAATTCTTTCTTCCTTTTTCTCCTTGCCTACTGTGCTTGCTTTTTCCTTGTATGTATTTTGCTTACTTTTTTTAAAAATAGATTTTGTATTACAAGTTTGGGCAATGTGTTGTAGAGAATTTAATGAGAACTTTATAATATAAAGTAAATATATGTGTAAATAAGTAAAGTTACTAATTATAGTGGGGGAGGAGTATATTATCTTATCCCATCCTTCAATATAACTATTGGGATAAAGGGGAGGCTTATATATTCCTGAAAAGGAGGCTAATTTTTTATAGTTAAGATGGTTTTTTCTAGAAGCAGAAAATTTAATATAAAAAATTGAAACATACTGAGCTGCATAATTATATATTTCTTCTTACAAACATACCTTTGAAAAATGTAAAAATATCAGTATTCATTACATTTGACCTGAGCTTCAAAATTGAATTGCCATTTTATAAACATATATCCTTGTTGTTATGTTTACCTAATTTTAGTCAGCTTAATAATGAGTTCACATGATAAAATAAACGGAAATAATACACCTATGCATGCTGTTGTGTCTGTAGCATACCTATTTAAAGTAAAACTTAGTAAGAATGCTGAGTGACTTTGGAAAGGCAAGAGTCTGTATACCACGCATTAGTGAAGAGTTTCATTATTTATTCAGGTACACTAAGTGAAACAACATGCCAACATATTTGTATTGCCTCCTTAATCTACTAAAATGATTGATCCATGTTCTTTTATGTAACTTTAGTATCTTTCTCCTGCTAGGTTTTCCTGTTGTGTGTTTCTCTTTATCCAAAGTAGTACAGCTCTTATTCTTCCTATATTTAGCATCTATTACGAATTCAGTCTTAGACTAATAGTCAATTTATTTTAATCTTTTTTCTTTTTTCCTTGCACTTTTTTTTTCTTCCGATGCTTAAAATAGAAGTGGAGCAAAAAGGTAAATAACGTATACAGTTTGAACCCCAGCTCCTTGTTATGTGCCTTATGGATGTTACCTCCTCCCATCCCTTCCCCCACAACATTCCTGACATTAAAATACAATCAGCAGGATCTCATAAATGCACCTCATAAAGAAGTCGACTGTTTACATTGAAATTATATGACTGCTAAATCTGGTGATGGGGTAAAATTTCTGAAGTCGGCGAGGGGAAGCTGTCCTTTCTCTTTTTCTTTTCACCCTTTATCTCTTTTTCTGACACCCTTGGATATTTTATTATTAAAGTGTCATCTTGCCTGGCTTCCAGAACCCTCTCCATAGCATGCCATGGTTACAGGGTCTCCTGGTCGTTTCATCACTGCTTTCCTTGTATTTACTTTTCTCTGCTTCTAATTGCATTTTCTGAATATTTATGTTCCTTCAACTGAAGTACTTTTGTTTTCAGTCTAACTTCCGTAGAAGTTCTAAATAAGCCTTCACACTGGACTTTTTGTTTTATTTGCTTTGTTTTGGTGTTTTGCTTTTGGGGGTTATAAGTGGGCTAATAAGGGAGGGAGGGTACTAAGTTCGGTCTAAAATTACTTTGTTCACTTTTATGCACAAAATTTTAAAGCATAAAAGAACTGTAAGATAAAACATATAACAAAAGTATAAATTGTTAGCTCAATTATGAATGATCTTAAACTTTGGTTTGTATTTGTGAAAATAAACATGTGCATTGATTATAGCAACTTGAGGAAAGAAAGGTACTATTTGTTTTAAGTGTAAATTCTGGTAAAATTAAATGTTAATAAGGTGAAGTTTTCTTTTTTTGATCTATAATCATTGAAACTTATGCTTGCTTGTATAATCTTTTAACTTTGCTTAATTCTTGTTTTTTCTCTGTGAATGTTAGTTTTTGTGTGCCCTGGGACCCTGAAAGCAATTGTGGACTCACCATGTATATATGAAGCTGAACAAAAGGCAGGTGCTTGGTGCAAGGACCCTCTTCAGGCTGCAGATAAAATTTATTTCATGCCCTGGACTCCCTATCGTACTGATACTTTAATAGAATATGCATCTATAGAAGATTTCCAAAACAGTCGCCAAACAACAACCTATAAACTTCCAAATCGAGTAGATGGTACTGGATTTGTGGTATATGATGGTGCTGTCTTCTTTAACAAAGAAAGAACAAGGAATATTGTGAAATTTGACTTGAGGACTAGAATTAAGAGTGGAGAGGCCATAATTAACTACGCTAACTATCATGATACTTCACCATATAGATGGGGAGGAAAAACTGATATTGACCTAGCAGTTGATGAAAATGGCTTATGGGTCATTTATGCCACTGAGCAGAACAATGGAATGATAGTTATTAGCCAACTGAATCCATACACTCTTCGATTTGAAGCAACGTGGGAGACTGTGTATGACAAACGAGCTGCCTCAAATGCTTTTATGATCTGTGGAGTCCTTTATGTGGTCAGGTCAGTTTATCAAGACAATGAGAGTGAAACAGGCAAGAATGCAATTGATTATATTTACAATACCCGATTAAACCGAGGAGAATATGTAGATGTTCCCTTCCCCAACCAGTACCAGTATATTGCTGCAGTGGATTACAATCCAAGAGATAACCAACTCTATGTGTGGAACAATAACTTCATTTTACGATATTCTCTGGAGTTTGGTCCACCTGATCCTGCCCAAGGTAAGAATTTTACTTGCTAATGCTTATATCTTTTTTAAACAGTTTATTTTTAAGACTTAAGTTATCCCTCTTTATTGGGCAAGTGATAATGTTGTGGAATTTCAGTTGTCATATGTGTGTACATTTTAGCCTTATTTTAGTCCATTTTCTTTTTCTGAATTTCATTTAAGTGTTGGTTTCAAAAAATTGTAGCATCCTTCATCAGTTTAGATTTCCACTGCTAAAAATGTATTGCCAACTACAAACCTGTTAGCTTTGTGTGTTTTTTTCTACCTGACTTCTGAATTGATTATAATCTGTGTGCAGACCTCTTAACTTCTTGGCGCCAGTGGTTAAGGGAAATGTGTGTTAGGAAGTCCCAGGAGAATTGCTAGGCTTGATGTACAGTGCCAGGCATAAGCGTTCTAAAGTTTTGGTGTCTGCTGTCTGTAGGTCATCATGTAAAATTACACATTTTTATTTTCCAATAAATTTGTGATGGTATTAGGTCAATATTTCTGGACTTTAACTGTTACACATGGACTAAGCACTAGATGATCCCAAGTATCGCTTTCTGAAGACAGTTCTGCTAGCATTTTAAAAATTTGTGTTCTCTTTAGGTATCTTTATAAAGGATCATTTATAAATCTTTGGAAATGTATTTTAGTTTGTCAGGTTACTTCAGTTCTGCAGTAAAGTTTTGAGGGTAAATTAAGTTTTGAATTTTCATTAAAATAAAATTACCTCATACTCATGATAAAAGAATGATCTCTTAATATATTATTTTGGAGTTTGCCTAATTATAAATCTTTTCTAGTTGAACATAATATTTGTGTTTAAAAGATCTGAATTATTTTTTCAATTTTCTGAGTTAATTGAAATTTTCACATTATTGAGTTACTTCAGAATTGTAGGAACCAGAATGTTCTTTGGAGTAAGTAAATCAATCTCTTCAACAAGGTGGAACAGGAATTAATATCTTTTTCCTCTGTTAAAGCAGTATACAACCACATGCTTAAACACAGCTACATATGCTTATATGTATTTTAAGGAATAATGTAACTTATTAAGTCAGTTAATAAGTAAGTGAGTTAGTAAGTCACTGAATCCTAAATATTGTCATAGGGTTAGGACCTCAAAAGCATGAGCCTTTATAGTTGAACTTCTAATTTGATAATAGAATATGAAGTATGTGAATTTTCTTCATACCACAAGAGCAATAATGACACGCCTTAGTGCTGTGCCGCGCTGTGCTTAGTCACTCAGTCATGTTCGACTCCTTGTGACCCCGTGGACTGTAGCCCGCCAGGCTCCTCTGTCCATGGCGACTCTCCAGGCAAGAATACTGGAGTGGGTTGCCATGCCCTCTTCCAGGGAATCTTCTCAACCCAGGGTTCACACCCAGGTCTCCCGCACGGCGGGCAGACTCTTTATCACCTGAGCCACCAGCGCAAGCCCTCTTTTTCTTTAATTCATGTATATCTAGAATTTGTTGGCTTATAATTGTAGTAGTGTACCATTGATAAACTTTCAACAATGAAATCTTCCATTAGGCCACGAAAATCTTTATTGATATTATCTAAGTATCATTTATTTTTAAATTCAGACATATCTTTTTCTCTTGAGGCCAGCAATTTGGAATAGTTCTTATATCTCAGTTGTTTTCCTAAAAGTTAGTACCATGCTTCTCTCTTATCCTATAGTTTTGTAAAAGGCAAAGTTCAGTAATTGACTGAACTTGACATTGTAAAAGGATCTTCTCTGGCGGCTGAGTTGGTAAAGAGTCTGCCTGCAATGAAAGAGTCCTGGGTTCAATCCCTGGGTCTGGAAGATCCCCTGGAGAAGGAAATGGCAACCCACTCCAGTATTCTTGCCTGGAGAATATGTATTACATCTTTTTTTATAGCCTGTATTACCCTCACAGTTGTTAAATGTTTCTTGGGTAGCAGTAAATCTCTTTCCCTCCATTAGGAAAAAATAGTAAAAAAAAATTTAAATGCCGATTATAATTAAATAACTCCTAAAGTTGAGTACAGGTTGATTCAGCTCAACAAGGAATCGCTGCCCACCTCCTTGTCACAGAGCACTTCATGGAATACAAGATGAGTAATAACATCACTTTCCACATGTGGCATATGTTCTAGTAAATAATTTGACACATTTCAAATGAGAGAATCTTTGATAATTTGGGTGCTTTTTGGAAAAAGCAGTTACTAGCTTTGAAAATGAGAAACTTTGCCATATGTGGTAGCTTTATTCCTACAGTAGTGTTGTGTTATCCAAAATAGCCTTTCTTATATATTCTCAGAAGGTGAAAGTCCATACTGACTTCTTATTAAAACCTTAGTGGTAAAGATTTTTATCTGACCTAAATTTTTCTTGCTGGTTTTGAAGCATATTCTCTTATTTATTTGCTCTTTATAACTTATCTTCAAATGCTTTTAGAGAGACTCCTGCCTTGCTTGTCCAAGATGTGTGCTGATATCTAACTGCATGTAAATGGGGTCTTGCAGAGCTATTCTGGCCCATACATTTAGGTCAAACCAATAAGCCACTGACAGCAAGTCTGTGTACTGGCTTTGCTATCATGTATGTAGCCAAGATATATATTGTGTTGTAAAATGGATAATTTTAATTATGGACTGTTTCACACTGTATTAGCTGCAGTATTTTTCCCCCATATATAAATCCATGCCTTCCATTCCTAACAGCACCAGTATATTACTACTTGGCCTCCATAATGCTTTCAAATACATCTTCCTTCTTTCTTTAAATTTTTAGCTTTCTGTGATCTCTACTTAGTTAATTTGCTCCGTTATCCTAAACTAGATCTGTTTTTTCTCTTTTGCTTTCTTCCTCTGTAATGCTGGCTTAGGGGGGAAAAAAAAGCCATTTCAGTCATATATTAACTCTTTTCTATGTCTTAATTGGAATTGATTTATACTTACTTAATCTGTCTGCAGTTTTGATATCCCAAACATTATTGAAAAATAGTCTTAAGTTCTGACGGTTTCTGAATATCTGACTTAGAGTAATAATGAAGCATGGTAAACAGCATGAGGGAAATTTTTTTAAGAAAGCCTGTTATATGTATTATTTAAGAAGTGTTTAACATAGAATACTTATTTCTTAAAACATCTTCCCGCTGATAATGAATGGTAATTAAAAGATGATTGGTGTTTTTAGATATTGAATAAGGGTAAATTTAATAAATCTGCTGCAGTTTTTGCCTTACTAGACTATATTCTCACTCCAGCTAGTGTTCATTCAGTGAATAATTGATGAATTTGGGAACTTGGAAGAGGGAAATAACTACCCTCTTATTTATCATAAATACATATTATCCTTAAAATGTTTTCACATAGGAAAAAGCTGATAATAATTAGCAAGTTCTCAATAAATACTGGCATGGTAAATTGAACCAGTCTGACTGTGTTTGTTGAGGTTTTCATGGGTACCTATTAATATATATGTTTATTAGCATTAATGTCAGTGTTTCTAGGTCTCTGTACTTAAACGATATATGGCAGGTAGAATGCTAAGTCATTTGATTGTGCCATATCAATGGCACCTGATAACTCTGGGAAGGCTGTATACAGTAGGTTTTAGATTTACAATATAATTCTATTGTGAGTTGCCATGTTTCCTGCTACCATTTATAGGAAGTTCTTGAGTTTTGAATCTTTTGCCACAAACATTTCATTGTGAAACTTTTTATTATTACTGTTTTAGTACCTTATATTCCCACATTTTTTCTTCTTTTCGAGATTTACACAGAGCACTGTATCAGTTAAATGCTCCAAAATAAGGACATACTGCTTGTGGGGTGCCGTACTTTCTCAGAGTCTATGAAAATCTTTTGTCTAGAAAAGTAAGATCATAACATTTAAGAGCGTTATGGACGAATGACCCTGAACAAACCGCTTAACCTCCTCCATGACTTAGTTTTCTGTTCTGTAAAAGAAAGATAATCATAGTGCCCACTTCATGGGATTGTGGTAAGGATTAAATAAGATGATCTGATGATCCACGAGTGACGATTGCACAGCATCTGGTACATAAACGCTGAATAAATGTAAGCTTTTATCATCATGGGGTGCCCTGTTGTGACCTGTCTTCATCTAAGAAAAGAAACATTAATTTTTATAAATACCTCCTCATCTCTAGCTTCCGTATTAGAAAATTGCTTTTCTTGAAGTTCTTAAACCTTGTCCTTGCACAATTTTGTAGTTGTCCTCCTAAAGGGTTTAATTTTGCCACTTAAAGTTGATGTTCATGTTTATTTTCATGATACCCCAATATTTCATTGATTCACAAGTGAAGAATGTGTTGCTTAAAGAAGTTTAACTTCTTTTAATGAACAAAAGGTAAAAGATATGAAAATGTATCATCAGTGGCATATGGAAATGGGCTACAAAATATTTCAGGAAGTTTTGTGCATTTAATAGAGGTCATTTTATTGCCTACCTTCACTCATTTATTTGAATATTTACTGATGCTTAGCTAACAGATCACTAATTGTGTATTGTTAATACATATTTCAGTCATTAAATATGTACTAATTAGTACAGTGTCAAGGGATACATCAGATGGGGTAGCACTAAACCATTCTGCTCTGTCCTTTTCTCTTTGCTCTGATTTCCCACCCCCTTTAAGATTTGATTCAGCAACATTCATTTAACACTTCTTCAAAAGATTGTGATGCTTTTGACAAATGTTAATTGAGAAAGCACTGGAAGCTTGGCTGCATTGTAATCAAAAGAAAATTACGAGGTTTAACAAGATGTCAGGCAAGTGCTTTACAGAAAAAAGATAAACAGGTTTGAATAGGTTTCTGCAACAGCTGGCTAGGCATGATGCTTGACTAATGTACACAGGATTCTCTCATATGATCAGTAACCAATGCCCTGGATATAAACCAGTTGGTTAAGAAGTTTCTCTAGTGATAGAATGAAAAGAGAGTGTCAAAAGTGTATCTTGCATTTATTGGTAACAAGAAGTTTGTCACTACTAAAGAGCTAGAAATAGGTGTACACTGCTTTTTCTGATAAGCTTAGCATACTCGTCATAGAGTCAGAATTATGCAAATTACTTAGGGACCAGAGCTTAAAATACTAATTATGTCAGTGATATATGGACATGTTTTCAAAGAAGTTTTACTGTTCTAGTCTGGTTCTTACGTGTAGCAAAACCATAAAATAACTTAATGTCTTATAAGATTATCATTAAAAATAGTTACTTTTAATTTGCTCTACTTGATTTAAATTTAAAGTCTCAAAATTATGAAGTTTTAAGATTCAGTAATCTAAATGTTGATAAAACTTTAGTGTGATCACTAATAGATTTTAAATGATGCCATTAAAATTTTACTGACAGAATTGTTTTGTTTTTTGAACTAAGTGGTCATTAATGAAGGAAAACATTAAACTCCATTATTATTTTAACCTAATGGATTTAACAGTTTAAAAATAATGTTGGAAGTCCTGAATAACCTTAAATTTTTTTTTTCTTTTTAAATTTCTGCTTTTAAGTGAGTTAACTGTAGGTCCTTGTAAACTCTCCGTTAATATGTAGAGTTGGTTTTGAATTAGGCATAATTTGGTCCAACTTGTTATCTTGATGCAATTACATAGAACCTCTGATCAGAACTAGTTTCTTTTCATACCTATGTTTTCAAAAGTAAAGATGTCAAAGCCTCAGATGTTTCCTTACTAAAACAGAACAAGCATGCCAAGTTTATCTTCTGTTTGGATCTAATCAGCCATGCTCAAAAATCTCTCAAGCAAGAATGGCTGCTGGGTGGAAAGATGTCACAGTATTTGTTTCCCTATAAGATGTAGAGTGGGTGACTTGTAATTTTCTATTGTCCTAATTATATGTAATGGTCAGACTTTTGTTGATACTTTGAATTTTATTGTTTCAGAGTATGAATATATGTAAGAAATGGCTTTTTCTGAATTATGTATCTGATATGATACCATATTTGATATATAGATTAAAACTCTATATTAAACTATCCTTCATTTCCTGTTAGATGATAGATGTTGAAATTGTACATAAACTGTATTATCAAATATTTCATTGAGAAGTAAGCCTAAAACACAGTCAGAGAGCAAAATCTAGGGTAAAACCCAAACTGCCAGTCGCATAGCCAACAATTTGAATAAGCTGGAATAAATGAAGAGATTCATTCTTCTTCCTACCCTGTGGATATTCTCAGTGATCCCCATTTTGTTGGTTTGGGATGGTTGTGTATTTTGTGTGTGTACATTGTGTGTGTGTGCACGTGCACATGTTCACATATGAATGTGATGTGTGTTTGAGATTAACATACTCATCTCTTTTCCATAGTGCCTACCACAGCTGTGACAATAACTTCTTCAGCTGAGATGTTCAAAACCACAGTATCAACCACAAGCACTACTTCACAGAAAGGCCCCATGAGCACAACTGTAGCTGGATCGCAGGAAGGAAGCAAGGGGACAAAAGCACCTCCAGCAGTTTCTACAACCAAAATTCCTCCTGTAACAAATATTTTTCCCCTGCCAGAGAGATTCTGCGAAGCATTAGACGCGAGGGGGATAAGGTGGCCTCAGACACAAAGGGGAATGATGGTTGAACGACCATGTCCCAAGGGAACGAGAGGTATTGCCTGTCAAATACTGATACTGTGTATACTATTAAAACTTTAAATCGGTTCTGAATTACACTGAAGTGATTTTATTTGAGAAAAGAGATATTTACAATAGCTAACTTAATTGTTATTTTGTTACTTTGGTAATATAGCACATGTAGACAACTTAAAGGTTTTGAAACTATAAAAGTCTTTTAAGACCAGGCTTTGAATTCCTGCTCCTTCTTCAAGTCCTAGGTCAAGCCTGAGGTTTAGGCCCATGGATTCTCTAGTGAGACTGCTTTACAGCTGCGTTTCTCATTACAAAGTATCATTTTGGATAAGTCCCGAGAAAAAGGGCTTTTTGTTTGTTTGCTGTAAATGTCTAATATTTCTGTGCCGACTTTATATTTACTGTTTATATTCTGCTTTTTGTCAGTTATTGTCAACTACTTCCATTAGCGTTTATTCAAAATTTAACACACGGAATAGGATCATCATAGTGGATTTCCCGAATGCATGCAGGAAAAATGGTTTCAATTTCACTGTTGTTTTCTGCATCTGTTGTAGGAACTGCCTCATATCTCTGCGTGCTTTCCACTGGAACATGGAACCCTAAGGGCCCCGATCTTAGCAACTGTACCTCACACTGGGTAAATCAGCTGGCTCAGAAGGTTGGTTGGAAGCTTTTAATATGATACACATTGGTGATTAAGGGCTTTAACTTCTAACATAAATAATTTAGCTTTGTATGTTAAGACCAGCTTCGTTGCTCTTTGTTCTGTATCAAAGTAAAAAATTATGCATAGTTTGGTCTGTAAACTATTTATTCAAAGTTACATATGTTTTAGGGCTTGCTGTTTTCTATGTGAAGCTTTTTAATGAATACATACTTGCCTAATTTCATTCATATTTAGTTTGTTCTGTTTCTTTTGATGTTCGTAAGACAAATAGTGCACTGGCCTAATAAATCAAATATCATTAAGTTTGCAACTGAATCCACAGAATGCAAGCAGATGTTCATATCACAGCTGATTGTGACAGAATAAGTAAAAATGACTTTAAAGGCATTAGTAACTTTAATACAGTGCAATGTAGTGACATTTTAGTTTTACCACCTACCTTTCTGAAAGGTAAGCAGTAGATAATAACCCTCAGTGTTATACTGATTACATTCTGACTTCTGGATCATTGGAATAAATTAATAAGATTTTTTAAGCAACAGTTTAAAATGGTTGCAGTGAAATGAGAGAGTTGTCTCAAAAATTTTTTAAAGGACTTTTTTTTCTCTTTTGTTTCCTTTAAATGCCTGCCTAAGAATTTCTTTTTGAGGATCTAAGAACCTTTAATCATCTGAAATAAAGAGAAAGTTATTGGTCTCAGTTAGTTGCAGATTTTGACATATTTGTGAATATTTTTCTCACCACAACAAAGATCCTTGGGAAAAGAACAAGAAGCTACAAACAACAAGAAATCTTTACTGAGATAATATAAACTCTCATTTCAGATCAGAAGTGGAGAAAATGCTGCCAGCCTTGCCAATGAACTGGCTAAACATACCAAAGGTCCAGTGTTTGCTGGTGATGTGAGTTCTTCAGTGAGACTGATGGAGCAATTGGTGGACATTCTTGATGCACAGCTGCAGGAGCTGAAACCAAGTGAGAAGGATTCAGCAGGACGGAGTTATAACAAGGTATGTAGAAACTTCCTGTTATTTTCAATTAGATGTTTTGTATGTCTGCTCTGGATTCTTCAGCAGTTGACTGCCTGACTTTTGGTCCCCATGACATACAGATAGAAACAAAACTTCTAATTTGGTTCACATCTCAATAAATAATTGTAGTTGCGAAAGGAGCAACGTGCCCTCACCTCGCTGCCCCCCAGATGATGCTAGTTACCTGAGGGAAATTTAGTTGGTAGTAAACTTCATCTACCTGGTTGCTGTCAGTACTCACTTTGGAAGGCATTATCTGCAATTGGAGATATTGTGTTAGACAACTCATACAGGCAACTCTTGTGATTATAACAAAATTCTGATTCATTTAGGAGTGTTAGATACTAAACAGTTGTTTTCAGTATTAGGTTTGGGGAGAAGGACAAGGTTTTTTTGGTAGAATTATAGTGTGTTAGTGCTACCAATTTTTCTTACCTTGACAAAAATTTGATAGTTATTTTAACCATATTATAAAGTGTTTATATGAAATTCATATGAATCTGAAATCTGTGGCTAAAATGGCTCTATAGGTTTTTTTCTTGCTTTTTATCACATATTTTGTCCCTAGTTTTATCAAGCTACTTTGCATTACTTTATTTTGTAAAATAAAGTTAAAAGCTGTGAATACACAGTCTTGGCAGTCAGTGTAGACTCGCAGAAATCCAGAGGACTACAGTACATGATAAACCTGAGCTCAGGACCACCAATTTAGTTTTTGTAGGATTTCTTCTTCTTTCCCCATATGCAACAGATAAAAGTCTAACCTCTGATTTTCTTTTCTTTTACTAAAAAGCTCCAAAAACGAGAGAAGACATGCAGGGCTTACCTTAAGGTATCTCTCCTGTGCTGTCACCCTGCTTTCCCCTTCTTCAGCTTCCTGCTACGCGTTGCCATCTCGCTGCATGAACCAATGTATCTCAGTCTTTGATAGTTATATAATGTGCCCCATATCAGCTGTACAAATGTGTCTTTTCCCAGGTATATTACTCTCAGAATACGCAAATAGCTTGTTTTTATATTTTTTGCTGCTTTTGCATTCATCCAAACATACAGGAATTTAAACGAAATATCCTCTGAATTGGAAAGTAATCATAAAGTCTTGTTACCCCCTGTTGTCATCTCTGGATTAAAAACAACTTCAGTAAAACAGCTCTGATATATTCTTGGCAGTTTATCATATCAAAGACTGTATAGTCATAATGTATGTGCATGAAAAAGTCACTGCTTTCTTATCTCTGTGGTGTACTCTTAAATAAAATAGGTTTTGTTTTGAAAATTTTAGGTGTCATTACTAGAATCAGGTTGATATTGGGAGGGGTTACTAGAAATGAAATATAAGTAATGTGACCATACTGTACATATATATGTTTCTGTGAAGGATAATAGGAACAGAAAGCCACTGTTTGCCTCAGAATCTTTTTCTACTGAAGCCAATTTTCCTCGCTGGTATATGCAAGTAAAATAGGAAACATGGTGAGGCTAACCATAGAATTATGCCAAGCTAACTGTATGATAGATCAAAATAGTAATACTACATTACATTTTGTTTTACTCTGTGAAGTTTAGAAGTTCCTTTTGTTGGATATAGTTACTTTCTAACTTTACTCATCTGGGGACCATATTCCTAGTCAATCAAACTTTGAAGAACTAGTTTATATACATATGAAAACAAAAGAAAAGAACTTTGTAGATTTTGTAGAATAGAGATTATTCAGAAGCTATGACTTCACCAATTTTGGTTGGCAAGATCTGGAGAAATAACAACATTTCACTAGCTAGTAATAGACATTGTTGGATCTGAGAACTTTGAAAGAAAAAGCAGTGGGAAAGTATTTTTTTAGGTAGTAATATTTTGAAAGTCTCTTATTAGCCTGTTTAATGGGGTCAAAGAAATACATGCTGAAATTTATAGAAATTGTCGTACTGAAATTTTCAGCTCACCTTTATGGTATTAGTTAATGTGTGAAATGTAATAATTGGTATGTTGCCCAGGATGTATATCTCATTGGGAGTAGATAGAACAGCTTTCTTTCTTTGGCAGGGAGACTACTTTAGGTATATGATTAGCGTAATGATCATTTTGATTCCACTAGAAAAATACAAATGATAATAAATAAGGAGTGATTCAAATTAATGAAAGCATGCCATCAGCGAGTTATGTATATAGCTAGTAAATTTCAGCATGACCTTAATTTCTGACCAGTGTTGTTTTCAGTATGTCTCAAAATGAGCTTCTCTGTTCAGATAAGACTAATAAAATACCTTAAATTACAAATTGGAAGCTGACTTACACTATGCAAATGAAACAAATTCCTGCTTTGTGACAAAGGATTCATTTGTAGCTTAGATTAGAGGCTCCAGTCTATATTTCTTAGTAACTAATGAATCTGGCCTCAGCAGACCACTTTCTGTTTCACTCCAGTTAATGGATGCAGCAGTATCAATGTGAGCATTTTGACTATTTTATCTCCCAGTAGAGAGAGAGAAAAGCCTTTGACTCCACTTGCAAGTATCTTCTACCTGCCAGGAAGGTTTTGGTGACTTACATGGCAGACAAAACAAGGATATTAAGATGGATTAAGCTAATTAATCTCACTCTGACAGTAGCCTCAAACAAATTTTCCACCTGCTCATTTCAATACAATACCTCAAACAGGCCGTTTTTGTAGTGTTTGTACAATGTATGTTCTTTTTTCTCAATGATTGCCAGTAGATCAGAGCAATTTATATTTGGGCTTAATGATGCACTATGACTAGGTACATGGGAGAAAGAGTAAATAAACTTAGTGATTTCAGCTATTAAGCCATAGTCAGTGTACAGCTACAGTAAGTATCAGTGCAAAAGCCAACTTTCAATTGCATAACTGACTGGATTACATTTTTATTTAATGTTGTTTTGCATGGTAATACACTAAACCTACATATATGAATATTTATAACATGTATATTTATAAAGATGCCTTTTCTCTTTTTATTAAATTATTAGTCTGGCTTTAAATATCTTGACTGTTTTCCTGATCCCCTTAAAAACAGATCATTGTTTACACATGATGGTATACTCTCTAGTGTTTTTAGCTAGCCAGGGAATTGGAAGAGTGGAAATGTTCACCAATAATTTGTAAACTGTGAAATCATCTTGGTTTTTTCCTAGTGATAATAGTATACAATGTTATAAGGCACAATTTTGGATACTATTTTAGTTCAGGTTTCCAAAACCAACATGATTTTATTTTCTAGCAAATATATTAGGCTACCCTAGAGATACCAATGTTTTCTATTTAGAACATTTAAGTCTTGAGATTATATGTAGGAGTGACCATGCATGTATGTGTAATACCTCAGATTAAGAGCTGACACTGGTTTTCTTTCTTTTCAATGATTGAGATATGATTAGATAAACAGAAACGAGCTGTCTCTTTATATACTTAGTCTTTATAATTAAATAGTAGTCTACTAATCTTCAGTTAGTTCTATTTTGAAAGGGTCAGACATGAAGTTGGCCAGATACTGTGTTGTCCAGGTATTCTTCCATAAGAGGAAATCATCATATTTTTATCTTGATGTAATAAAGTATGTATAATATGATAAATATTACAAGATAGATAAATATTACAATTTCACTAGTCAGTGATTGAAAATCACCTTGGTACTAGAAGCAGTCAATACTAATGATGGTCTTCTAATGGATGCAGGCAATTGTTGATACAGTGGACAATCTTCTGAGACCTGAAGCTTTGGAATCATGGAAACACATGAATTCTTCTGAACAAGCACATACTGCAACGATGTTGCTGGATACATTGGAAGAAGGAGCATTTGTCCTGGCTGACAATCTCGTAGAACCAACCAGGGTATCAATGCCCACAGAAAATATTGGTGAGTGAATCTATTGTTGAGTTTATTTTTTTTTTTTCCATTTATTTTTATTAGTTGGATGCTAATTACTTTACATCATTACAGTAGTTTTTGTCATACACTGAAATGAATTAGCCATGGATTTACATGTATTCCCCATCCCGGTCCCATCATTGTGGTTTTGATTTGCATTTCTCTGATTATTGTTGAGTTTAATGTTTATTTAGAAGATAGATGTTTAAGAGAATTATGATTCCAGTGTGAATCTTTTCAGTTATTTCCAAGTGCTAAGCTTTTCTTTTGTCAAATTATGTTTGTCCTTTAATAAGAAATGTAACTGATCACATTCATAAAATTAATGCAAAAGCCAAAATCTATTCCATGTCTTATGAAAGTTGGTTTGATGTACTTTTTTCCAACTAAAAAATCATTAAAGGAAAGAAATGTTTAGAGTACTTAAATGCCAGAATATGGATTGCTTAAGTAGTGAAAATGCTTGCTATGGAACTAGGGCAAATGCTTTTCCATTTATATGATATGTTCCTAATGAATTTAAATTACTTTCTGGAATGTGTTCTCCCAGTCAAATATTTTAGGCACACAAATATGTGAGCCAAATGTTTATATTAAACACAACGGCTTTCAGGTGAAAATGTGGTCAGTGATGTACATCCCCCATAGAGCAGAATATTCATGCTTTATAGATTGCAAAATAGCTGCAGATAGTTTTGGAGGATCGTTTAGAATTTAAATGCTGGCAGTGAGAGGCAAGAATTCACTTTTGATGATATTTGAAAGAAGTACCGTTAAGTTCAGTGAAATTATACTAATAAATTAGTATAATTCTATACTTATTATACTATAATATATAATGTATATATACTAAATATATAATAGTATACTATAACTTGTCAGTCAGTATAGGTTTGACTGATTTAGAATTGTTATTCAGTGGGGGTGAGCTCAGATGAAGTTTATAGTATCCCTTAGTAAAGTAAAGAATGTGAAAAAAACCAAAAGGGAACACAGACTACTCTGTCACTGAAAGAATGTATTGGAGCAGCAGATATTGAATGAAGTTCTGCTATCTAGGATGCCATATCTTACTGTCTTATTGTGCCTACTGAAACATGGTACTTTATATTTAAAAATGCAGAAAAGCAAGTTGTATGGGAGAAGTAGACATAAATCTAATTATGATACCTGGATTTAGATACAAAATTTTAAATAACTGAGTTTTTAGAAAGAGGGTGTTATTAAAATCATATTTTTATTTTCTTAATGAGGTTTGAAGTGATAAATAACTTCATTTTAAGTCAAAATAATTTGACTTGCTTTGGGAGAGCAGTCACAAGGAAAGTGATAGTCTGCCATTGTTTAATAGAAATAGAAAATAAAAGTTCTCTTTTCTGTCTAGAGCTGTCGTTATTTCTGAGTTTAATTTATTTAGTAGTCTAATGAATTTTCTAAGATACACGTTAAATAATTCTCAGATGTTTTCAGGGATGTGCCTATAAGATAAAGGAGTGTAGACTTGATTATCTCAGAAGACAAATCATAAAAAGTATTTGAAGTGTTGTGTTGTGACCTCCATTTATTTTTTAAACCTTTTTGAAGACTATTTTAAAAGCAATGCCCCCCCCCAAAGAAAACCCCTAAAATTTCCCACTTTAAGCTCCTTCCAAGAGTGTGAGAAATTTTGATAGGCCAGGTTGACATTGTCTGTTCCCATCAGCTTCACATATGTAGAACACACATATTGTTATATGTTTGAGACATTTTTATCTCAGTTTGAGAATGGTCAGGAATTTTTTTCGCCTAATAGTTGTGTTTTTCGGAGTTCTACATGATTATCCTTTACACTGGTTTTTAATTGTTTTTTAATTAAAGAACATTATGCGTAGATTTCTCATAGTGTATATAGTACATATTTTACTGACTTCTGAAAAATAATGCCATGAGAGGGAATTTTGAGGGAAAATCAGTTCAGTTCAGTCACACAGTCGTGTCTGACTCTTTGTGACCCCAGGAACTGCCGCACGCCAGGCCTCTCTGTCCATCATCAAGTCCCATAGTCTACCCAAACCCATGCCCACTGAGTCGGTGATGCCATCCAACCATCTCATCCTCTGTCGTCCCCTTCTCCTCCTGCCCTAAATCTTTCCCAGCATCAGGGTCTTTTCAAATGAGTCAGCTCTTCACATCAGGTGGCCAAAGTATTGGAGTTTCAGCTTCAGCATCAGTCCTTCCAATGAACACCCAGGACTGATCTCCTTCAGGATGGACTGGTTGGATCTACTTGCAGTCCAACGGACTCTCAAGAGTCTTCTCCAACACCACAGTTGAAAATCATCAATTCTTTGGCGCTCAGCTTTCTTAATAGTCCAACTCTCACATCCATACATGACTACTGGAAAAACCATAGCCTTGACCAGATGGACATTTGTTGGCAAAGTAATGTCTCTGCTTTTTAATATGCTGTCTAGGTTGGTCTTAACTTTATTTCCAAGGAGTAAGCATCTTTTAATTTCATGGCTGCAATCATCATCTGCAGTTAATTTGGAGCCCCCCAAAGTAAGTCAGCCACTGTTTCCCCATCTGTTTGCCATGAAGTGATGGGACCAGATGCCATGATCTTAGTTTTCTGAAAGTTGAGCTTTAAGCCAACTTTTTCACTCTCCTCTTTCACTTTCATCCAGAGTCTCTTTAGTTCTTCTTTACTTTCTGCCATAAGAGTAGTGTCATCTGCATATTTGAGGTTATTGATATTTCTCCTGGTAATCTTGATTCCAGTTTGTGCTTCCTCCAGCCCAGCGTTTCTCATGAGATACTCTGCATATAAGTTAAATAAGCGGGGTGACACTATACAGCCTTAACGTACTCCTTTTCAGATTTGGAACCAGTCTGTTGTTCCATGTCCAGTTCTAACTTTTGCTTCCTGACCTGCATACAGGTTTCTCAAGAAGCAGGTCAGGTGGTCTGGAATTCCCATCTCTGTGAGAATTTTCCACAGTTTATTGTGATCCACCTAACGGCTTTGGCATAGTTAATAAAGCAGAAATGATGTTTTTCTGGAACACTCTTATGTTTTCAATGATCCAGTGGATGTAGGCAATTTGATCTCTGGTTCCTCTGTCTTTTCTAAAACCAGGTTGAACATCTGGAAGTTCATGGTTCACGTATTGCTGAAGCCTGGCTTGGAGAATTTTGAGCATTACTTTACTAGTGTATGAGATGAGTGCAATTGTGTGGTAGTTTGAACATTCTTGGCATTTCCTTTCTTTGGGATTGGAATGAAAACTGACCTTTTCCAGTCCTGTGGCCACTGCTGAGTTTTCCAAATTTGCTGACATACTGAGTGCAGCATTTTCACAGCATCATTTTTTAGGATTTGACATAGCTCAACTGGAATTCTATCTCCTCCACTAGCTGTGTTCGTAGTGATGCTTTCTAAGGCCTACTTAACTTCACATTCTAGGATGTCTGGCTTTACGTGAGTGTGACTGATCACAGCATGGTGATTATCTGGGTCGTGAAGATCTTTTTTGTACAGTTCTTTTGTGTATTCTTGCCACCTCTTCTGCTTCTGTTAGGTCCGTACCATTTCTGTCCTTTATTGAGCCCATCTTTGCATGAAATGTTCCCTTGGTATCTCTGATTTTCTTGAAGAGATCTCTAGTCCTTCCCATTATTGTTTTCCTCTGTTTCTTTGCATTGATTGCTGAGGAAGGCTTTCTTATCTCTCCTTGCTATTCTTCGGAACTCTGCATTCAAGTGGGTATATCTTTCCTTTTTTCCTTTGCTTTTCACTTGTCTTTTTTTCACAGCTATTTGTAAGTTGTCCTCAGACAGCCATTTTGCTTTTTTGCATTTCTTTTTCTTGGGGATTGTCTTGATTCCTGTCTCCTGTACAGTGTCATGAACCTCTGTCCATAGTTCATCAGGCACTCTGTCTATCAGATCTAGTCCCTTAAATCTATTTCTCACTTCCACTGTATAGTCATAGGGGATTTCATTTAGGTGAAATTGATGCATGTATGTGTATGGTTGTGACCCTTCACGACCTTTCTCTGTTCACCCAAAACCATCACAACATTGTTAATCAGCTATACTTCAATACAAAAAAATAAGGTCCTTATCTTAATGTATTCATGTATTGATTACCAAAAAATTAATGCTATGAAGATCATTTTACATATTCCAATATATTCCTATATCTTTTATTTCACAGTTTTGTGAAAAATATCATCCATAATTTAATGACATTCAAGATTCAATTTTTTCCTAGGACTTGTTCTCTTTTTAGACACGAGGACTAAAATATCCCATTATCCTTTTATGTCTTCATTCTATGTTCTTATCTAAATTTAGAGTATGGCTACAGTATCTTTGTTGATTAAGACAATTTGATTCTCCTCCTTAGTGGTTTCTCCTTGAATCCATATTTTCACTTGATTATATGATTTACCCTTATATGTGACTTCAAAAAATTATATGTTATAATTATATCTGAGTATAGCTTATTAAAATCAACTTTGAGTTATACTTTACATACAATAAAGGCAACTGTTTTAAGTGTACTTTTTGATGAGTGTTGACAAATGTACACTCGTTTAATCAACTGCTTGGTCAATATTTCAACCACCTCAAAAGGATCCTTTATAATCTTTGATAGTTTTTTCATATTCCCAGTCCCAAGCAACCACTGATCTGTTTTATGTCACTATAATTTTGTCTTTTCTAGATCTTCAGTTGATGGAATCATAAACTGTATGCTGTTTTTGATCTTGCTTCTTTTATACAGTATGATGTTATTGAGATTCATCTGTTTTGGTGCCAGCACCAGTAATTAAATCATTCTTATTGCTGAATTTCCATTATAAGGACACATTTTTGTATCTACTCACTTGGTTAGCCATATGTTTAGGTTGTTCCCAGTTTTTGACTATTACTAGTCAAGTTGTTAGTTTCCCAAGTGGTTGTACCCTTTTATATTCCTAACAACATTTAGGAACCCTTTT